TAATACCTCTCTTTAAAGTAAATAAGTAAAAGTATCATTTTTATCTTTTGAACGCAACAAAATAAAAGTAAAAGTTATGATTTAAAAAAACCAGTAAAATTACAGATCCTTAAAACATTACTTAAGTACGTAATGATGTAAATATACTTGAATATTATACACCTAAACTGCCATCATTATTTCAGGTATATTTAGTTGCTTCTCGGTCACCTCAAATGTCTAATCTATGGATAGCTGTAACAACACATGACTAGATTACAGTCTTCAGGTAAAAAACAGCAGTTACACACTAGCCTGTTTTGTTTTGTTTTACTTTTGGTCTGGAATGTGATGTCTAGTGACATCTAGTGGCAAAATAGCAGATTACAACCAAATGAATTTCTTCTACACCTGCCACTTTTCAAAATAATGTTGCAAAAAATGTTGGAATCTGTGGTTAAAATAAATAATATAGAACCATTTTAGTGTAAAAGTACAGCTTGTCTGCTCCTGATTGAGGAGAAGGACATGACTTGTAATACTTGTGTAAAGAAACATTACACTTCCTCTCTGGCACTAATCACATTCCTCTCCCCGTATGCACTCGTTCACCCTTTACCCTGCTGTCTGGAAACCGCTCAGCAGAAACCGGGAGCCGTGACCGCTCTGCCCACAGATCTGTGAATGGGTCAGGAATTAGGAAAACGTGCATGCGAGAGGCCATCCAGGCTCAGCTTCCTCCTCGCCTCCTGTCTGAGACCAGGCAGGCAGACAGGTGGATGACCTTTGACCCCGCCCGCGGCAGAACACCGCTCGACGCGCCAGGAATGTGTCCACACCTCTCGGCCAATCACGTCACGTCTCGAGTGGAACACATGCACTTGGTCTAACCCAAACAGTGTGTGTGTGTGTGTGTGTGTGTGCTCGCCTCAGGCCTCTCTCTTATGGTCTACATTTTGTGGCGCTGTGTGAACGTACAGGAGAGTGTTACGAGAGGGAGAGTGATGGATGAGCTAATCTGAAGGGACACACACAGAGCAGCATGATAAGGATATTTTTGTCCAATTTATGCCAAGCTGTTCTTGAGTTGATGCTGAAGTGATTATGTCTGGGTTTCACTGGGGTTTAGGTTTTGGTTCTTGCTGCAGTCTAATCCAGGAAGACAGAGCAGTGACTGTGTTGTGGTAGTTGAACGGACGCTGAAAGGAATAAAACCCTGGGAGCGTAGACTGTGACTGTACCATCTTGTTGACATCTTAGAAAATCCACATGAAGGCAGCAAAATGTTTTATTTATTCATTATGTTTTGGTGTAAAATACACTATATAATACACGGTAGCTACCCAAGGTGGGCATTGAAGTCCCTCAGAAGAAAGAAGCTGGAGCACCTTCCAGCATCCCGTTAAAGACTCCAAGAAGGCTGGGTACTCTGAACTTCTGTTGGTATCATTGGCACAAACGACCGTCAGAGCACGTTCCCCAACTTTCAGGCATAGGGAAGCTACTCACTCATCAACCGGGCACCAAGTTGGATACACCAGCTCGGCGTCTCCCACCACGGGCAACACCAGAGTGGAATAAGGTCTAGTTTAGGTCTAGGTGAGCCCATTTATTGCTAGTTGGTACCTCTCAAATTTGTGCACTAGCTCAGGCTCCTTCCCCAGCAGAAAGGTCATGTTCCAGGTTCCAAAAGCCAGCTTTGGTAAGCCTGGATCAGAACCCAAAGCCCCCCACCTCCCCGTTTTCGGCAACCCATGTTGCTCATTTAAACCAACTGGACCCCATGGGAAGAGACCCGGTCACCAGGTGCTCGACAAGCCCCGCCCCCAGGCCTGGCTTCAAGGTGGGGCAATGGTTACCCACGTCTAGGTAAGGGACACTGAGCTCCTTCATTTTGTTTCTGTCTATATGAGGTTTCTTAAAATAAATTACAACCATCCAATGTTTTATATGAAGCACATGCTGTTGAATGTTAGTTAAAATTAATCTGAAAGAAAAAACTTGGAACGTCTTGGCAAATGAAATTTAGGAATTATTTTGTTTCGCTGACCACTGTCAGAGGTGGACAAGAAGGTAATTGCTGTGTCTGTGTAATTTTGTCCATCTATTGTTAGCAAAATAGCTAATGAAGCAATAGATGGATTTTTAATGAAACTTTCAGAAAGTAATTGCTGGAGCTTCATCGACAACCGATTACCTTTAGGAGTCAACCTGATTCAAGATGGCTGCCACAGCCAGTCTATTTTAGCAAACATAAAAATGACTACAAGTTACTTTAACAAATATCAAATTAAAATTGATAGTAGAAGTAGCTGAGAGTCATTTCAACCTACATTTAGCACAACAAGTTATTATTTCTTTAAGGAATCCTTGTTTCTGCACCAACATTTCTGATGTGCAGTTAATTCAATCAGCTAAAATACATAAAAAAACATGAGTCCAAACTTATAACAGAATGGATTTATCTTTTTTAATATTACCATTAACAAAAACAAAGAGACAAGCAAAAATATTTATATAGGTATATACAAAATACACTGTACATGAGCACAAAGGAATGATATTTCTGAGTTCAGCAGTGTGACGTAAGTGAAGGAGAATATGAATCACAAACATCGGATGGTTTCAAACCTACAGAGAAGCTAAAGAACTGGACTGAATCACTCTGCTCTAAAGTATACTGCTTTTTCAACCACTCTCTCTCACACACAATCAGGCAAATACACTCAGTTTTGCTGTGATTTCAACACAGGCACACCTGGACTGTCTACAGATTTAACCACCTGTAGTGGCTTGTATGGCTTGTTCAGTGGCACTCTGTGTAGAGCGTGTGTCCATTATAAAGAGAACAGAAGAGCTACATCGTTGTGTCCAAGTGTGCTTAATCCTCCTTTCTTTGTGCATCCATGTTTTCTCAGGCCATCTTAGGCTAAAGTGCTGAAGAGGAGGATTTTTTTGTGTTGCAATGAACATGGACGTGTTCACGGTGCGTTCACACACTCAATATTAGTCATAAAGTTTTTTTTTTGAGCTGCATGCTCCTACAGTACACAGGAACATGGAGTGAAAGCTCAAATGTAAGGCAGAGATGTCTTAATAAGATACATCCTGTGTGCCTTAAGCTTGTCGTCCAGCCGTGGCTTCAGTGGACAACAGCAGAAACGTGGAGTGGTCCGATCGACTCAGTTCAATCCTCCAAAACCTCAAGAACAGGAGCAAAAACTGCTGGCTTTGTTTGCCCAGAAACAGTCTTGTCTGTCACGTCTTTTGTCCCTTCCGCCGGTCTTCTGGTCATCTACCAGTTGCAGTCTTTTGCGAGCAGCATTAGGACTTTTCGTCCTAAACTGGCTTTCCAGGGCTTGACGAAGCTCTTCATGTTAACCAGGAGGCGACCCTGCTTACGGTCCAAATGGCCCGCCACCAAGTACTCCCCACCTGTGACATAAAAACAATAATCTAAACTGAACTTACAAAGACTTTTTCAAACTTTCAACCACATAAAATTAGCACAAACAGTTAACTAGTGTTTGGTAGGTTATTTCTTTGTTGTAACAATTCTTCTCTGTGATAAATCTTATAGCAGCCAATTGGCAGAACCTAGGGGGACCAGAAGCTCAAAACAATAGTCAATAACAACAGAATAAGCTGCTAAGCAGAGAACATTTGACAAATCTTTTATGTGAGCAACCCACATACTCAGCTCTGCTGCCCATCCCACAAATGCATGTTCCTTACAAATGTGGCATCATTTAAAAGGGTCATGAACAGCCTTTTCAACGACATAAGATATATTGCCAAGAAGCACTGTTACAACAACGACATAATCTACCAAACACTAATTTACTTTATTTAAATTTCAGACTCTGGAGCATGATACTGTTATGCTGCGTTCACACCGAACGCGATTTCAGCTTCAAAATCGCATCCAACGCTTCAAGTTGGACACTTGTGCAC